GTCTGATGCTACACTTGCTGAGTGCACCCTCACTCACCTGCCTAGAAACTGCCGAGGAACTTTGGAATGATGCTTGCTTGAGTTCAATGGGCCATCCACCCAGTTCCTGCTGCCTGCACTGTTCTGCTTCGCTAAATTTATACTGCTTGATGATGTATCATATCTGGATTCCATCTACCACATACCAACAATTTCTTTTAGCCTCCTCTTTTTAATCATGACTCCAAAGATATCAAGGATGGTTTAAAAAATGCTTTTCTATTAATTTGTCAAATATAACAAACCCATTTCAGTCATAATTGTAAAATGTTAGTAAGCTAATCTTTTCAATTACCAATGTAGCTCCCTCATAATCTGTGTAGATGTTCATAGCATCAATAATTTTCTATTTTCTTATATCACTTCTTTAGGTATCATGAGATGTTTTTTTCTGTATCTCATCTAACACTTATTAAAAGCAATAACAAAAGTTTCAAATTCTAGGACAGATTTCTTCTTTCCTACTCATAGTAATTTGGCTTCTGGTAAACATGGTAATTCTTACAAAAGTTTGAACTAGGCTTTTATTTAGATATTTACATTAATAATGAAAACCTCAAATATTTTTATGATGTAATTTTCTTATTGAAAGAGGGCTTTAAAATAGGTATTGGAACTAATCAAAACTCATTTCCCTGAACTTCAAGACCCTCTACTAAGTGGTTCCTTTATATCTATTAATTTAACTTCTCCATTTTAGTCATTCAATTTGCACAGTTTCTTACCTTTGCACTATAAATCTTTGAACATAGGAGTTTCAATGTAGGAAATATATAGTCATTTAAATGCATAAAAATCTAAATTAAGATATTAGTAAATTGCTTTATCTGGATCAAACTTTAACACCAGTCTAGGTACAGATCTATTAAAAGCATTATGTGGGGGAAAAAGTAAAATGAAACAGCCTATTAACCACTTATTTTACACTTCAGGTTTACAACACAGATTTTTTTTTTTCCACTAGTTTTGTCTCTCATTAAAAATATACATATAACTTGTTTAGAGACAAAGCTCAAATCTATCCTTAAATCATTGTTTTTTAAGGTCTTAAATAGTAAGTCAATTCTGAGACTAATTAGTTCTGTACTTATCAGTTAAAAAACAGTATAATGATTGTAAGTATAATATTTTTATATTATGTCTAAGGTTTCCTCAGGTATGTTGGGACATAATTAGATGTATCAGAAAAATTGCTTCAACACCTAATTTTGGAGTTGACTCATGTACACAAAAGTGCCAAGTGACAGCTAAGGTTAATTGATTCTTCAGGGACTCAGTTTCAGTTTAAGGTCACCGTCTACTGGGGTCCTTAGGGCATGTGTCACCTTCTCAAAAGAAGTGGAGCCTGAGGGGCTTTCCTGGCGGCTCAGTGGTAAACAACCCAGCTGCCAACGTAGGAGACAGGAGTTTGATCCCAGTCTGAGAGGACCCCACGTGCCACGGAGCAACTAGGCCTGCGCGCCACGCCTAGTAAGCCTGCGCTCTAGAGCCTGGGAGCTGCCACTACCGGGCCCACCTGCCGCAACTGCTGACGGCCAGGTGCCCTGGAGCCTGAGCTCCACGAGAGACGGCGCGGGAGTAAGCTCGTGCACCACAACCACAGGCTGGCCCCCACTTGGCACAACTAGAGAAAAGCCAGCAACGAAGATCCAGCACAACCAAATTAATTAATTACTTAATCAAATAAAAACAATAATTATGCAAAAAAGAGAAGTTGCACTTGAGATAGCTTCTGAAATATGGGTAGAATCAGAAATCACTTCATTTCACTTCACTTCTCTGACTCTTTGCAATCCAATGGCCTGTAGCCCTCCAGGCTCCTCTGTCCATGGGATTGTCCTGGCAAGAATACTGGAGTGGGTTGCCATGCCCTACTCCAGGGGGTCTTCCCAACCTAGGGACCAAACCCACATCTCTTACATCTCCTGCATTGGCAGACCGGTTCTTTACCACCAGTGCCATCTGGGAAGCACTTCTATGACTATATCAAGTGTTATAACCAAGGATAAAATATTGTTCATAGAAATCGGTTAGCAGGCTGCAGGAAGACTGAAAATTAAATGTTTAATAATCACAATGGCCCCTTATTATTTTACCTTTCTCTAAAAACTGCATTATCATCCAACTGATATCACTTTGGTAATGAACATTATCCACATATAATTAAGGGCTTTCCTGATGGCTCAGATGGTAGAGTCTGCCTGAAATGCAGGAGACCCTGGTTCAATGAAACTCAACATAAGCAAGAAAGAATAAATTCAAGTGTACAAGACATCATCCTCTAAAGCCTAAGTTCAGCGTGAGTGCTTTAGATTTGCAGGAAGTGCTTTGTGATTGCCTTGAGGACCATACACAAACAAACTATGACCATATTTTCTGAATTCATCCATAGCTAATATTTCACAATCTTTAGAAATACAATTAGTTTCTGGAAGTTTCTATACATTAAATTATCTGATATCTTGAGTTTTTAGATACATAATGAAATTTTATTAACAATCAGATGACAGCTACTCTAACTGTCTGAGCTTGATCTTGCTTGCCTTAGAAAAAGACATATTCATTTCTATCTCAGTGCCTTTGGTCAGATAAGGGCACAATGAAATGCAAATTTCTTAAAAAAATACCCCCCAAAACTAGATATATTGTAGTTTACCTAGTTTATGTAGTTTATCTGGCAGAACCATTTAGTAGAAAGAATATGGACTGAAAAATCTGCATTGTTTTCACTGCACCAAATTCTATGCCATAAAAATACTAATTCTTCAGCAGTTTGATCCAGAATCTCTATCTCAAAGTGAGAAAAATGGCTCAAAAATAATATACTAATATATTTTTTGTCCATAGAGTGAGGTGGTGCTATAGACAAGGCTGTGTTTGAATTTGCTTTTAATTACTCTCAGTAATTGTCTAATTGTGAGGGTGGCCAGGGAGGCTCCTATCATACACATAACCAACAGTTTTCAAATGAAATCCTCCAGCTTTCCTCAAACTGTTCGGTGGAGGAACAGAATAGCTCTACTCTTCAATTTGGAATAATACAGAAAAATCTCACCAGCCATCCAATACCCTCGCTCTGGAAAATTCAGGGAGATTTTCAGGGAGAATGGACTTCTCCTCACATATTAGTGAGTGATGAAACGCTATACTGCCAGAAAAGGCACATAAGGATGAAGTACTGGGAGTATGCAGAACTTATCTATGGACAGTTCGAGATTCTTTGCCACAAAATCATTTTTACCCAAAAAATAACAGTCAAAGGAAAAATAAAGGCCCAAGATTAAAAGTATCATTTTTATTCTGAAAGACAGCATTTCCTTATTGACTTATAAGTAACCCAACCTGTTACTTCAGTCCCAATCAAGTTTCTGATATACTTTGATTAATAGTTCTGAGAGAGAACCAGATACAACACCCAAAGGGGCAAAAAAGAGGATCTTCTTCAAAGTGACACATACCCTGGGCACTTGTGAGTGTGAGTGTATGTGTGTGTAGGATATAAAAATAGTAAACAAATGCACAATTATAACATACTATATGATTATCTGCCTGTGGCACTGCTCCAGCCTTTGTCAAATTTCAGTATTCTGTTATTTTGTTTGGGGTTATGTCACTCAAGAAGTCATCAGTAATCCTTGAAAATTATATGAGCAGTGGTAAATAGCTATGTTTTTCTATTGAGAATAAGTGATATAGTTGAATTAGAGCTGAAAAATTTGTTAAGAGTTATAAAGAAGTTTTTCAATTCATACAGTTTATTAGATTAAAATTAGGAAAATCTTCTTTTCGGGATTTCAGAAAAGGAATCACTCAGAAAACCATTTGCACCACATGAACTTGCCTTAAGTTTATGATTTTAAAATTAAAATAAAAGTAGAATTTATACTAACTAAAAGGTATAGTGAAGACTCAAAATGTTAAAAAAAAAAATCTAGCCAGGATTCAAGAGGGATCACTTAATCTCTTTATAACACTGTCCAAAGTGAGATATTTTATTATAATGGTCATGAAGCATTAGGATGGGTAGAAAAGCTGTTATTTTGAAGTAGTACCAAGGTTTCATCTTTGAAGGATAAAAATGCCTAATAGCAGAAATTCAAAAAAGATGACATGATCTTAGCAATCTCTAGTTAATTTATTATTCTAAGCCACACCCTATTATTTTTGTTTATATGTTTGCTAAAATCATTTGCTTACAGAATGAATTTAATTATATATAAAACAAGATAGGCACGAGTGAGAATGTTGAATCACGATAATAAAAAAGGGGAATTTTTCCCAGAATTACCTGCCCAAACTAGTAAAACATGTTTGGCTTTTTCTTTATCTGATAGCAATCACAGGGTGAATTTGTTATACTGCAGTCAAGTTGACCATAATTTAGAAGTGCTCCCAGTAACACTGTTGCCTAAAGTGATGTGATAATAGGGGTAGCCTCCTGAGGCTAAGTTTAATATCACATTCCCTATAAAACTATTTTTGTTCATATTTACAAGTGTAGGAACACTTCATACAGGCAAGTGCTATGCTTACTGGTTATAGAAAAGATGTGGGCTGCTTCTCTATCTTACTTCAAGCACCATTGTCAAACCCACGTAGGGTAGGAGAATCCATCCAGTGATAAATTTTCATGACTGTATTCATCTCACCACTACAAACTGCAACATGTGTGGAGTAAAGGAGGCCGTTCCGTGGGGTACTAGCTCCGACAGGCAAAGTCTAAGAGACCAAGCGATTAAGATCAAAGAAACTTTGGGGTATTTTAGTTTTATGCCCCTCAGAAGCATTTCAGGAGTGGGTAAGGAATGGTTAAGGTTTAGTTCAAGGGTTTTTTTTTTAGCTCAGACTTACTGCATCTTAAATTTTTGAGTAATTTGGAATCTAAAATATTCAAAATGATATTTTATCAATACCACAGTTAGTGAAAGAAAAATAATGATGCTATTTATAAATGTTCTTACCTTCACATCTTTGACATTCATCCTTGTTCCTTCCTTCCCAACAAAGATATCATCAATGTCCACAAGGATGTACCGGTCCAAAGACAAGGTCAGCCTCTTCCCTGACAGGAAGGAGATGGCATCTATGAAGATGAGCTTGTGCAGCCAAAAGTTTAAGTTGTTGCCAAAAAGAACTCGCTGAATTCCATCATGCAGACCCAGATCCTGAATCACTGTCGCATAGAGTGGTTTGCCGGACAAGGATGAAAGGGATTTTTCTGTCTGTAATTCAGTTAAAAGCACAGGCTGGTAGGTTGAATGATTATATTGGAAAATTGTCCAGTCTTCCCCAGGAAGAGGGCCTTTCTCAACCTTGGGGGCTTTGGTAATATGCAGCAATGGAGACTGAGGGTTGACCAAACAGTCCTTTAGAGCTAGATTATTGAAAAGGTTTAATGGAAAACCTTTTAACTGTGTACTTGGTGAGCTGTTTTCATTGGCTTTATGAAAACCAATTATACTAACACTGTATTCCACACAGTATTTTTCTAAGAGCTCTCGATTCCATGAGTCCATGCTGACATACTTCAGAATATTTTCATAAATAACTAAAATATATTTCCCTTTGCCATTGTCTGTGAGAGGAGGTATATCTCCCTTGCCGGGGGCAATGACCATGTGGTGCTGAAATCGGCTGGACTCCAAGATAGCGATAATATCTTGCCCAAGTTGAGAGTATTGGCTCTCCACAAACAGGAGGACAATAGGATCAGTTTTGGATGTATCAATAGGTTTAACTGACTTCAGCTCCATTGACCGGTAAGGCAGGATTTTAACATCAGTACATCCTGCTTCTGCAGTAGTCTCAATAAGTGTTATTTCCTGTTTATAGCCAGAGTAGAGGAAATAGGCAGAGATGACAATGCTCACCAAGCAAAAGGTAGCTAAGAGAACAATTAATGTTCGAAAACTTCTCCGAAGCTTCACAATAAGATTCATTTTTTTAAAATGCGGCTTTGGAAGCTTTTTCCAAATTACTTTCCTAAAGTGCCATCATGAATAAAGTATGAGATGGTACAAATGCCACTTCCCAAATGTTCATGTAACCATTGCAAACCATGTAAAATGTGTGATGGGATCACAAGCAAGTTAAAGCAGTAGAACAGTGGACCAGGAGAGAAAAAGTTGAAGAGATTTTGAATATGTCCAATACCAAAGATTGCTGTAGAGTCCTTGAAACATTACCTGAAAAAGAGAAAAAAAAATATAATGGCTAACACAAAAATAGCAATCTAAGTATTTGTGTGTATACTTATGCTGATATATAAGAAATATACATATCAAAGATAATTTTAGTGTGTTGATATGCTAAAATATTAATAGCCTAAGGTTTACAGTTTAGATTTTACTACATAGATTGTAGTAGATTTTTTCATGTCCTGAACCATATAAAACCCTATTTGATTTTGCCAAAGTATCTATATATCAATATAGAGAAACACAGATTGAGATCATTTTTCAAACTAGTCATCTCAAAAATAAACATTAGAAAAAAGCTTTAGTGTATAATGGTCATACTATGCAACTTGCTTCCATGAGACTGGTAAACACTATATACTTACAGAATTAGGAAATCAGGTATCTGCATGGGTTTAGAGCACTGGAGCATGCTTGTAAGTATCTACTTAGGTATATGGATTATAAGGTGAGAGAATGATTTTGTCTCAAATAAATGGTAGTTACAGGCTTTTCCCTTTAGAAATATTCTTTTCTGAAGTTACAGGGAGACACTTGGCCCTCTTCAGCAAAACAACCAGAATAAAGGATTTCTCTTTCTCCATTATTAGAAGAAAAGTGACAGAGACGCTATGAGACAAAGAACAAAATGGGAACAGGATCTTCAGAACTTTCTAATGAAACAGAGGCCAGAAGCATCTTCTAGATGAGAAGAAAAATCTTGACATGCTTTTCTCAGAGCATATTCCTAAATTTGACTGATATCTGTTATCAGAATTAAAATTGTTTTCCATTATCAACTTTTATCCAACAAATTACTTTCTATCATTCAAAAGAAAAATAATACATAGAAAGCATTAAAAAAAATATTTCCCTAAACTGCTTCACCACACTGGATATAATTTTCCATTATAATTTTTGTGTTTTTATTGTTTTTAATTTGTAACACATATACTGTAAGTTGTGTATTATTGATGTACTAAATCATAGAAAACAAATTAGTATGTTTTATAATATGACCTGTATATTCTATCACTTTGTAAATTTTTTATGTTTAAAATTGTTTATTTGAGTAAACAATAATTATGCATATTATTTATTATTAGATTATTAAAGATTAGATTTTTAGAAGATTGTTAGATTATGTGATTACAGATATGAGTATATCATTACTTCCATTTTATGTTTTTATGTTCTCAAATACATTTTCTCTATTTAGTAATTTAAATTTAAAAAATCAACAAGTTGAAAAATAATGTCTCAGATTTTGGAAAAAATATTTAAACAATCTCAAAAGCTAACAATTTAAAAATTTTAAATTTCTACCAAACATTTTGGTTTTTCAGATTCCAAATATATAAATAGACATGATTTTTTTCCCCTTTGAAAGAGTGAACAAATTTTTAAAATCTTCCCACTGATTTCAAATTCACTTTAACGGAAAATTAGCACCATATGCCAGGGACTTACTAATACACTGTTATCAAATATAATTTTTAGGTGCTATTTGATTCCCCCAAAACCTTTCAATTGTTTTAAAGTTTTGCTCCCTTTGAACAAATTAAATTATATTTTACTGAAAAGAAATAAAATACAGTGATAAAAAGGCTTAGGTTTGATATAAAATATATAAAATAATTATGGTATAGTCTACCTTACTTTTATGTTTATTTGAAAATGTTCATAAAGTAAATTTTAAAAATAAAAGTCAAATTAAATTGTATAAAATAAATATTGAAGGAGATTTGAAATTTGCCAAAGAAAATTATCCAGTCTTTATCATATTTCTTCCCAAACTTCTCCAAATTCAAGTATTTGATTAAAAAATCTACTTACAGAAATGGAATCTGTCACACTCCCACCTCCACCTTGCATCACCCCACACAAGTAGAAATCTAATCTATATACTTCAGGGGTTTGCTTAGTATCTTCAGAATACATTTAATCAGGTATTTGAAAAGAAACAATGTGTGTAACAATATTTGCTAAGTCCTTATCTATTCTGACGTCAAAAATGTAACATTTATTTTTGAATATACAAAGCATGAGATGTCAATTTTGCATATTAGAACAGCTCATTCTAATATGCAAAAGTAAAAAAAAAATAAAAAAGCATATGGGACCAGAATCTGCCAACCAAAAGAATCAATAACATTTAAATGTGACATTTATTTAGCATTAATATGTTCAGAGTTAGAAGAATGATAGATGCATATTACCACCACTGTGTGTGTGCATGTGTGTGTTTGACTCTGCATTTATGTGTGTCTGTTTATCAAATGAGATATATTTCTCATTCAGTCCACTTGTTCATTATTCCATAGAAAAGATTCACCAGTGGAGGTGAGGAAGGCTGGACAGAAGAAGATGATATAACAAAGAAATTTACTCATGCTCTATGCCTGAGAAAAGAAATGGTATGACATTGTTTGGGATGCCAAAGAAATAAAGTATATATATCTGGGGAGGGGAAAAATCTCCACCCTAACCCACTTGGTTCTTTTGGCTGATCTAATAATTAAAATGGGCGGGGGGCGGGGGGGAAGGCAGGAGAAAAACAAACTTACTTTTTTTTTTTCTTCTACTGCATTTTATTTATTTATTTATTTATTTATTTATTTATTTATTTATTTTTTCATTTATTTTTATTAGTTGGAGGCTAATTACTTTACAACATTGCAGTGGTTTTTGTCATACATTGAAATGAATTAGCCATGGATTTACATGTATTCCCCATCCCGGTCCCCCCTCCCACCTCCCTCTCCACCCAATCCCTCTGGGTCTTCCCAGTGCACCAGGCCCAAGCACTTGTCTCATGCACCCAACCTGGGCTGGTGATCTGTTTCACCCTAGATAATATATGTGTTTCGATGCTGTTCTCTGTGGTACATATACACCATGGAATATTACTCAGCCATTAAAAAGAATTCATTTGAATCAGTTCTAATGAGATGGATGAAACTGGAGCCCATTATACAGAGCGAAGGAAGCCAGAAAGATAAAGACCATTACAGTATACTAACACATATATATGGAATTTAGAAAGATGGTAACAATAACCCTATATGCAAAACAGAAAAAGAGACTCCGATGTATAGAACAGACTTGTGGACTCTGGGAGAAGGCGAGGGTGGGATGTTTCAAGAGAACAAACTTACTTTCATATGTATGGAGGTCTCATAGATACAAGACCTAAGACGTGAACAAAGCATGCAGCTTTTAGATAAAAAACAATAAATTTGAGAAGAATTGACAAGACAAAGAAACCATCTTGGGTACTATTTAGTGAACAATCTAAGCAGTTTACATAGCCTTCTCCACCCTGAATTTCCAATCTCTGATGATAAGGATGTCTCCCTACCTCTTAGGGCAGGGAGGATACCTTTCATATGGGATTACTTCCTAATTTCTGGAGACAAAGGAGAGGTAGAGTGTTCTTGTATTGTTATTTCTCAAGTAACTTTAATTCCAAATAATCAATATGCCCAGTTTTGTGTCCAACTCTTTGTGACCACATAGACTGTAGCCCACCAAGATTCTGTCCATGGAAATTTCCAGGTAGGAATACTGGAATGGGTTGCCATTTCCCGCTCCAGGGGATCTTCTTGACCCAGGGATTGAACTCATGTCTCCTGTGTCTCCTGCATTGGCAGTCAGATTCTAAATCTGGGGCTTCCCTTGTGGCTCAAGCGGTAAAGAATCTGCCCACAATGCCAGGGACCTGGGTTCAATCCTTGGGTCAAGAAGATCCCAATATTCTTGCCTGGAGAATTCCAGGGACAAAGGAGGTTGGTGAGCTACAATCCATGGGGTTACAAAGAGTCAGACACCAGTGAGAAACTAACACTTTCAATCAATATGCTACTTTGGCAAATTTGGAGATGGTCCACCCTAAGCTCCAACAATACATATTGACCTCTGCCCCTAGGTTCTGGCACAGAACTCCTAAATTCCTTGTAATTTCCTGGGTGATATGAGTGTCTTTTGTTCTAGTGATGCTATACCAAGCAACACCCTGTGGAGCTCTTGGGCACAAAAGCATTGTGTATTTGTTTGATTAGAAGAAATAGGCTTCATTCAGACTCCATGACTTTCCCAGAGTTTCAATGGGCAGGTTCAAGCAGTTGTTAATTAAGGAAGGGAGGGGATGCAAGACTATGGAGAAAACAAACAGCCAAGAGAAACAGTAATGCAACCCTGGGGCAAGGCCCCATTCTGCATCAATGGAGATACACGACATTATCTTTAAACTCTTTTGCAGGTACTAAACCCCCACCAGATGGGAGAAGTTAAGGGTTAATGAAGGCTGCTGCCGACATGCATCTGGATGCCAGACAGATTGAAACCATTAGATTGATGACACTGTCTCCTATTTGCCTTGCTACCAAGCAATCAAAAGAATGTCCATGAGCTGATCACTCTCTCTTTGAAAACATTCTCACTCATTACAGTAAAACTTCTCACTACCCTCTCCAAGTGGGGACACACAGTTTTGAGGGCATTAGCCCACTGAACCCCCCCCTTCACTTTTCCTGGCAAAGCAATAAAGCTATTCTTTTCCACTTGACCCAAAACTATGTCTCTGAGATTTGATTCGGTGTCAGGATACAGAGGTTAGATTCAGCTTCACTCTCAGGACCGTGCAGCCCTCACCTATGTATCGCTTCATTTAGCTGTTAAACCATATCCTTTATTATACAATAAATGAGTAAAATTAAGTAGGTGTTTCCTTGAGTTCTCTCAGTTGTTCTAGCAAATAATCA